GCCGCATTGGCATGGTCATGGACGTCGCCCGTACGTCCATGATGCATGCGGCTGCCCCCCATTTTCTGTGGCCGTTTGCGGTTCGGTACGCGGCGCATCAGATCAACCTTCACCCCAGGGTCTCCATGCCGGAGACCTCCCCAGCTTTGCTGTGGACGGGGAAGGTTGGCGATGCGTCTGCGTTCCGTGTCTGGGGATCTCGGGCGTTTGTCCGCGACTTGTCTGCGGACAAGCTGTCCCCTCGTGCTGCTCCTTGCGTCTTCCTTGGCTTCCCCCCTGACGCGCCAGGGTGGCAGTTCTACCACCCCACCTCTCGCCGTGTTCTGTCCTCCCAGGACGTCACGTTTGACGAGTCGGTCCCCTACTACCGCCTCTTCCCCTACCGCACTCCGTCCCTCCCCCCGCCACCGCTCTTCCTTGTGCCAGGTCCCCCCCCGGTAGACCCCCTCCCCCCTCAGGGTCCTGCCCCTTCAGGTGTGTCCCAGGTAGACGCAGTCGAGCCTGTCGAGGTTACTGGTGACTCTGGTGCTGCTGAGGGTGCTGAGCCTGGGGGTGCTGACTCTGGGGGTGCTGAGCGTGTGGGTGCTACGCCTGGGGGTGCTGAGCCTGAGGGTGCTACTACTGGGGGTCCTGAGCCTGGGGGTGCTGAGCCTGGGGGTGCTACTACTGGGGGTGCTGAGCGTGGGGGTGCTGAGCCTGGGGGTGCTACGCCTGGAGGTGCTGAGCCTGGGGGTGCGGAGCCTGAGGGAGTTGGGCCTGCTCGTGTGGCGTCTGGCGGTGCTGAGCCTGGAGGTTCTCCGGGTGCTTCGTCTTGGCGGGAGCCACTCTCTCCACAGGAGCTGCGCGAGTGGTTTGCCCGGCGCTGGAGGCATGCTGCTGGAGCTGGAGGTTCTTCGGCTGCTGAGGGTGCTGGTGCCGCGGGTCCCGGAGGTGCTCGTACTGGGAGTACTGGAGCTGCTGGGCCTGCGGGTACGACTGGAGCTGGAGCTGCTGAGGGTGTTGGCGCTGAGGCTACTGCTGTCGGTCCTGGAGGCGGTCCTACTGGGGGTGCTACTGGTGCTGCTGGAGGTACTGGAGCTGGAGGTGCTGCTGGTGCTGGTGCTGCCGCTGGGGGTACTGGTGCTGTCCCTGCTGTGTCTGGAGTCGCCGCGCGGCCTCGGCCGGACTTCGTTCCGCTCCTTCAGCAGGTTCTTGGTCTCCCGCCTTCTACTGGTCCTCCTCCTCCCTTAGAGTGTCCACAGCCTGTCCCGTCACAGTTACAGTTACAGCCGGCCTCCCCACTGCCCGCTCCTTCTCCCTACACTGGTCCTACTGGAGGTCTTACTGAGCGTCGTGAGCCTGCGTCTCGCCCTGCGTCGCCTTTCCGTGCTGCTCGCACTGGTGGTCGTGGTTCGCGTCAGCGTCCTCCTCCTGTCCCTGGCACGCACCGTATGTCTCTGCGTCCGTCCACTGCTCCTCTGCGTGCCCCTTTGCCTTCTCCTCCTGAGTCCTCTCTTCCTGCTCTTCCTGACCCGGAGTCGGACTCCCTTCGTGCTGCCAGTCCGACTGTCACGCGTCTCCTTGCTACTGTTGTCACTGACCCTTCCTTTGAGTCCACTGCTGCGTCTGCCCTAGTTGCTGAGCTCGTCGAATTTGCTGCTCGCTGTCGTCTAGACTACGCTGCTAGTCTTGTTGCTGAGTCTGAGTCTGTCTGTCCTCCGTCCGTCGGGGGTGAGTGTGCCCTTGGCACGGACGTCCTTGAGGACAGGCAGGAGGAGTTCCAGTGTCTGGCTGCTGCTTCACCTCATCTCGTGTCCGTACTGCTTACCCCTGAGGGAGACCCGGATGCACTTGACATCCCGACTCCGCGCTCTTACGCGGAGGCGATAGAGGGTCCCTACTCCTCTCAGTGGCAGGCAGCTATGGACGCAGAGATGGCTTCCTGGAAGTCCACAGGCACCTACGTTGACGAGGTTCCCCCGCCTGGGGCGAACATCGTCAGTGGCATGTGGATTTTCAGGGTGAAGCGGCCGCCGGGTTCTCCGCCTGTCTTCAAGGCGCGTTACGTGGCTCGTGGCTTCAGTCAGCGGCAGGGAGTTGACTACTTTCAGACCTTCTCTCCCACCCCGAAGATGACCACTCTTCGGGTACTGCTGCACATAGCTGCTCACCGCGACTACGAGCTGCACTCTCTTGACTTCAGCACTGCTTTCTTGCAGGGCAGCCTGCACGAGGAGATCTGGCTGCGTCGCCCACCTGGCTTCACTGGGTCCTTTCCTCCTGGCACCCAGTGGAGCCTCCCGCGGCCAGTCTACGGTCTCCGCCAGGCACCGCGTGAGTGGCACGACACACTGAGGACTACACTTGCGGCTCTTGGGTTTGCTCCCTCTACTGCCGACCCGTCGCTGTTTCTGCGCACCGACACTTCTTTGCCGCCGTTCTACATCCTCGTGTACGTCGACGACTTGGTCTTTGCCACAGCTGGCACTGCTGGACTCGCCCACGTGAAGTCCGAGCTGCAGAAGAGACACACGTGCACAGACCTGGGTGAACTGCGCAGCTACCTTGGCTTGCAGATCACCCGGGACAGAGCACGCCGCACCATTACCCTGACTCAGTCACACATGGTGCAGCAGGTCCTTCAGCGCTTCGGCTTCACGTACTCCTCGCCTCAGGCCACTCCTCTGCCTACTCGCCACTCGCTCTCAGCTCTGCCTTCGGATGAGTCCGTAGAGTCGAGTGGCCCGTACCCAGAGCTTGTTGGCTGCCTCATGTACCTGATGACCTGCACACGACCTGACCTTGCATACCCTCTTAGCATTCTTGCACGCTATGTTGCTCCTGGGAGACACAGACCGGAGCACATGGCTGCAGCGAAGAGGGTGTTGCGCTACTTGTGCAGTACGTCGGGCATGGGGCTTGTGCTTGGAGGGCAGAGTCCAGTGGTCCTCACTGGGCACGCAGACGCTTCTTGGGCTGACGACCAGGCTACGCAGCGGTCGTCACAGGGTTACACCTTCAGCCTTGGTTCCGGCTCTGTTTCGTGGCGGGCTACCCGCTCGTCTTCTGTTCTCGGCTCCAGTTGTGAGGCTGAGATCTACGCCGGGGCCATGGCTGCACAGGAGCTTCGCTGGCTCACCTACCTGCTGACTGACCTCGGAGAGCCGCCTCGTTCTCCTCCAGTGCTGTACGTAGACAACAAGGCCATGCTGGCCTTGTGTCGAGAGCAGAGACTGGAGCACAGAACGAAGCACATTGCTCTCCGCTACTTCCTTGCTCGTGAGCTACAGCAGCGTGGTCAGCTACGGCTTGCGTACGTGGCCTCTGAGGCCAACACTGCTGATATCTTCACCAAGGCACTTCCGCCTTGTGATCATCAGCGCTTCTGTACTCAGCTGGGTCTTGTGCCTACCTTGCCTCACTTGCTCACCCCTTGACCTTGCTTGTACTGTTGCATATATACATACACCTGCTCTTGCTTGTCTAGCCTTATATATATATGCAATCCTGCATGTGAACTGGCCTTGTGGCCTTGAACTTGTGCTCGGAATGTGTGGTGACTTTGTGATCCACCCTGAGCTTGTTTTGTTTTGCTTGACTGGTCTTGTGACCCCTTGTTCTCCCCCACTTTGCCTATGGGGGTGTGTCAGATTTATATGACATAGCTACTGTAGGCTATAGTGGGGTAGCACATATGGGGTACAGTTTTCTAGGGTTTGCTTTTGTACCCAACTTTCCTTTAGTCATTTCATTCCTAGTTTCTTCTCAGGGTGTAGTGAACAGTATTGCTCATCTGGCAGAATCGGTTGCCCGAAGAAATCATAGTTTAGCGCTAAGCTAAGCGAGGTAGAAATCAGTGGTTAAATTAAACAGAATTGTGCTTTTGAGGCAATATGTCATTACCTCCAAAGCTGGGGTATTGACGGTTTTGCATACAATTGCATAGGGTCACCATACTAATTTGCATGTCTATGATGTTGGCCCGGAGTCTGAACACTCCACTATGATTGGACACTACTGATTGCTGTGGTTGGTCGGAATGAACACTTGTGTGCTTGAACACAAAGAACAGTTGTGGAGGGAGAATGAATGGCTCACGCAAACTGCAAATGGACCGCTAATTACGGCAGAGCGAAAATCACGCATAGTCAATTTCCGCGTAGGTCCTCGCTGAAACACGAATGGATCAGAGTACACTCTGAAAAAAAAGCTGAAAAATCAGCATAAATATCAGAGTTTTTGTAGGCATATCAGCGAAATTTAGCTGACTTCTGGGGGCCTAAATTACATAGCGTGCAAAGTAAACGAATATCGGGACAGTGATTCAAAGCCTGACGATACAATGAAAGCGACGGGATTTAATAGGGGAATCATAGCTAGGCGGGGAGGTCGGGAAGATAAGGCTCGGAAGTGTGTCTATTGGTGTCGGGGGCGTCTCGGAAGTGGTTTGGGGCGGAATAGTAGGCCGAACCAGCTCGCGCGTGGGCCTCGGGATGTACTCGCTGAGAACTAACTGCAAGAAGGATTTAGAATTCCTTACACACTGTATACTGTGGTTACGCATCGGGAAACCTAAAACCCCTAACGTCGAAGTCTTGACCACTTCTTGACCTACGTGCACAGCACCATGATGGGATCATTCGTGGGTTTGAATGAGTATGGAATGGGAACTCATTCAAAAAGAGAGAGGGAGAGATCGCTTTTCCTGATTTCTGCGACCGCCATTCACTCGATTTGACGCACCACCACCGGCGTTTTAGATGATTATTCCACCCATTCCCGTCGACGACGATCCGCGCGGTTAGAGAAAACGCCAGCGATATTTCGAGACTCCTATCGCATAGTTCTTAGCAGTTTCTGGTGATCGGGTTCGGAAACCTCCCTCCGAATTTAGGCGTGAAAAACTTCTCTTAAATTTCCAGACTTTCACGATATTGCTCTCTTGTTGTCTCTCGTCTTGTTTTCACATACTGATTTCTATCTGAACCGGACAAAATTTAGCCGTTGAGAAACAAGACAGCATGGCTGTGCTACTCCACTCCTCCGCGCTCCGCCTTTCCCCTATCGCCTCGACACCCTTCGGCGAACCCTCGACGACACCCGTCGCACTTTCGCAATTGTCGCGACCGACTAAGTTGACGACTTTAGGAGCACTGCCACGTCAGCACTCGTCCGGCGCTTTAAGCGCTTCATTCAGCGGAAGGGTATGGCGCTACGGGTCGAACCGCGATCCGCGAAAAGAGCTCGCTTCAAGCATTCTTACCTCCCGCCGATCGAGTATATTTTCTATTGGTCTACATACCGGATCGGTGGCCCTTAATCTCCGCAATTCAAGGAGGCGAACTGGCCGATCATCCCTCGTTAGTGTCACACGTGCGGCGCGCAATGACGAGTCTAGAATCACAGGCGGCGTGGCTACCGCGGCTCGCGGAAGCGGCGGAAGCAGCAGCGCAACTTCGGGCTTACGGCGCGACGTAAAGTCCGACTCAAGGAGCGAAGCGCAGAGCGGCCGTAGCCGTCCGCGCGACGGCGAGTGGCAGCGCGACAAGAAGGGCCGGGGGGGGCAGTGGCGGCTGCGGCGGCTGCACGGGGAAGGGGGGAAGGGGAAGACGGGCGGGGGAAAGACGGCTGCCGTCCCTGCTGCTACAACCGTCCCTGCTGCTACAACCGTCCCTGCTGCTACAACCGTCCCTGCTGCTACAACCATCCCTGCTGCTCCTGCTCCTGCTGCTGCTGCGCCCGTTCCTAAGCAGTCCCTCCCTGTCTCCGCTTCAGCCACTGTCCCCGCCCCTGTTTCCGCTTCCGCCCCTGCCTCCGCCTCCGCCCCTGTATCCGCTTCCGCCGTTGTCTCCGCTTCCCCCCCTGTTTCCTCCACCGCCCCTGCCTCCGCCTCTGCCCCTGCCCCTGTCCCTCCCCCTGACTCGATCCCTCTCAACTCCTCCGTCCTTCCTACTGCTTCGACTGAGACCATCCAGGAAGCTTCCTCACGCGCCCGTGTCACTGCTCCTGCAGGGCCCTCCGAAGCTTCCGCTCCCACGTTGGGTCAAGGGAGTCAAGAGGTGCCACGTGGCGAAGGGTTAGTGGCTGAGGTCGCGACGCCAGCAGGGGAGGTTAATGGGCCGAGAGGGGGCGATATTTGGAACTCCCCTTTGCCGGCTGGAGGGTGGCTGTGGGCGGCTGGTTTTGTCGTTACTGCTGCTACAGTGGCGTGGATCGGAGGACGAGCGGGCGGCAAGGCAGAGAAAAAGAAAGAGGGGCTGCAGGAGCAGGGGAAAGGACTTGTAACGAGTAAGGAGGCTGACAATAAGGAGGATGGAATAAGTTGGAAGGACTGGGAGAGGAAGAAGATGAAAGAGAAAAAGGTGGAAGGGTGGAGGAGGAGGGCAGAGCAGGAGAGGATGGAGAGAGAGAGAGCAGAGAGGTTCAAGGGGAAATGGGCGGACGGGGAGGCGGTTGAGAGTGGTGGAGAGGAGTTGGGAGGGATTGGTGGGAGCGAGGTGAGGGATTGGGAGGATGGTAGGGGAAGGGCAGAAGCAGGGTTCGGGGTTTATGAGGGAGAGGGAAGGGAGGTGAGGGGGATCAACGGAAAGGTGGATGTGCTAGTAGGGGGGGATTGGGAGGGTGTGGGGAGTATGGGAAGGGGGGAGGGGGCGTGGGGGGGCGAGAGAGGGGGTACTGTGGTGGATATTAGTGCAGAGGTAAGGGAGAGAGGGGAGGGGAGAGAGCGAGAGGAAGGGGAGAAGGGAGAGAATGGAGTGGAGGGAGTGGAGGGGGTGGAAGGAGAGCAGGGGGAGGGGGGGAAGAAGGGAGGACAGGGGGAGGAGCAGCAGGATACAGAGGAGCAGAGGCGACAGGCAGCAATGGCTGAGATTCGCAGGAGTGCAGACCTGGTGAGGCGGCAGGAGAGGGAGGAGAGGGAGGAGAAGGAACGAGCAAGGAAGGTGAGTGCTGAGATGCAGAGGCTGCTGGTGGAGAGGCGCAGGCGGGGCGAGGTGGTGACTCAGCAGGTGTTGGATGCGGTGTGGGAGGAGGCGTGTGCGGTTGTGCTGGGTGGGAAGGTGGGAGGAGGGGGTGCGGCGGGGTTTAGTGCAGTGATTGGGGGAGATGCAGCAGCAGCAGCAACAGCGGCAGCTGCAACAGGGGCAGCAGCAGCGGCAGCAGCAACAGCGGCAGGGGTAGGGGCAGGGATAGCAGGAGGGGTAACACCAGGGGAGGCAGCAGGAGCAACAAAACTGGTAACAGCTTCAGAAGCAGCAGCAGCAAGTGGCGGCAGCAGCAGTGGCAGCAGCAAGAGTGAAAGAAGAGCACGAGCTCGAATCATCACCTCTCTCCCATCTTCCCCTCCTGACGTCGCTGCTGCTGCTGCTACTCCTGCTGCTGGTGCTGCCAGTGCTGACGATACACCAGCCGCAGCAGGGGCAACAGCAACAGGGGCAACAGCAACAGCGGCAGGGGCAGGGGCAACAGAAGGAGCAGGGGCAGCAGCAGCAGGGGTAGCAGAAGGAGCAGGCGAAGGCAGGAGGAGGCGCAGAGTAAGAGTGATTACATCGCTGCCCAGAGGCACTGTAGCAAGTGACACTTTAGAGGGCGCTACTGTAACGGGTGACACTGTAACGAGTCCAGTTGTAGCAGGAAGCACCTCTGCTGGCAAGGCGGGAGCAGCAGAAGTGGCAGCAGCTGTAGCAGGAGCAGCAGCAGCTTTGGGAGAAGGGGACATCGGACAGAGGGGAATAAAGGAGCAGAGCGTAGAGGAGAGACAGAGGGAAAGCGATGGTCAGAGGGCAGAGGAGGGACCAGGCAGGCAGCAGCAGGCGCAGGCAGAGAGGCAGCAGCGGGAGCTAGAGGATGCAAAGAGAAGAGTAAGGCAGCGAGCAGCGGCAGCAGCAGCGGCTGCTGGGGCTGCTGGTATTGGTGCTGGTGCTGCTGCTGGTGCTGGCAGTGCTGGTGGTGCTGCTTATGGGGGTGGTGGGGCTGTGTGGTGGGTGGAAGATGAGCGGCTGGTGACTCTGGTGGCGCGGGTGATGCTGAACGATGAGGGAGGGAGAGACTCGATGCACGGGCTGACCCAGGAGGAGCAGGAGACGTTCTTTGATGCGCTGAACCGGCTGTATGGGGAGGATGGTGGTGGCAGTAAGGGGGACGCTTATAAGGAGGACGGAGTGTCTGAGTTGGTGGAGAATTTGAACTATGGCCGAGGTGAGTTGCTAGGCTGGAGACGTTCTTTGACGCGCTCAAGAGGCTGTATGGGGAGGAGGATGGTGGTAGTTAAGAGGATGCCTATAAGGAGGACGGAGTGTCTGAGCTGGTGGAGAATCATCAGTACAACCGAGGTGAGTGCGTGTGGAATGAATGTGTGTGTGTTTGTCGCAGTGAGAGTGAAAGAAGGTAGGTAGGAGGGCCCGATGGATAGGGTCATGCCGCGCGGATGAGAGGAGGGGATGGTAGGGAGAGAGAGAGAGAGGTGGTCGCTGTCAGTCTTTCCCCCCTGCCCCACCTCCCATCACCCACATCCCGCAACTTCCACACTCCCATGCAGTCGGCATCTCTGTGAGTGACCCGATGGATATGGTGGCGCCGCGGATGAGAGGAGGGGAGAGAGGGGATGCTTCTCATTCCTATTGCTCCTCGCCCTCTCCCTCCCCCCTGCTCTTTTCTCCTTTCTTCTTGCAGACAGCATTTCTGTGAGCGACCCGATGGATATGGTGGTGCCGCCGCGGATGAGGGAAGGGGAGAGGTGATTCCTCTCAGTCCTATTGCCCCTTGCTCTCTCCCGTTTTTCTGTTTCTCATTCCCCTTCCCCTGCAGATGGCATTTCGGTGAGCGACCCGATGGATATGGTGGTGCCGCGGTTGAGGGGAGGAGAGAGAAAGGAGAGCAGTAAGGGGGAGATCGCTGCAGCAGCATCAGCAGCATCAGCAGAACCAGCAGGCAACGGCACTGCTACAGCAACCAACGTCCCTGCAGCAAGTGACGGCGCTACAGACGAGCTGCTAGTGCTGGCGGTTTCGCAGTATGTGAATGCTTCTGATGCAAACCGGTTTATTGATGATGGGGGTGCGGAGGAAAGCGAAAGTATGGCTGTGGGTGATGAGAGTGGGGGAGGGGAGGGAGGGGAGAGTGTCGTGGTGAGTAGTGGGAGTGGGGGAATGGAGGGGGGAGAGGGTGTGGTGGTGAGTAGTGGGAGTGGGGGAGTGGAGGGGGGAGAGGGTGTGGTGGTGAGTAGTGGGAGTGGGGGATGGGAAGGGGGAGAGAGTGTGGTGGTGAGCTCTAGTAAAGGCATGATTGGTCGCCAGACCTGGTCGCTAGAGGAGACACAGGCAGGGAGGGCAGGCAGAGCGGTGGGGAGTGGTGACGAAGGGTGGAGCAACACAAAGCAGTGGGCGGAGGATATCAGAGCAAGGTATGAAGAGGAGAGAGATCCGGATGTGAAGGAGGTGATTCAGCAGCTAGGCAAAGACCTTCCCAAGTGGCTTTCAGAGGAAGAAATTAACTCTGCCCCGACTCTCTCACAGGTTGTAGCGGCAGGGAGGGAAGGGGGCGACCCGAAGCAGCGGGCAGCGGTGAAAAGTTTCCTCGAGAAGGTTCGGGAGGAGAAGGAGAGGTTTGGAGCTGAGGCTGTGGCGGAGAAGTATTTGGAGCAGGCTCGGGATGCGGAGGAGGAGGAGGCTCGGCGGAGAGGGGTGGTTCGGCCGGACCTGGACCGGCTGTGGTGGCTTGACCTGCAGGCAGTGTGGGTGAGTGATTGATATGATCTGTTTTGTTCAGATTGTATTTGATTGGATTTCAGTTGTGGATTTCAATTGCATTTATATTTATCCCAACCGAGTTCTAAAAGTCGACTTCACTTTTGAGGCGCCTCAAAAGCTGTTCATATTAATCAACTATCACGTTTAGTTGCAGCCATTAAAACCTTTGCCCGTCTCCTCTCCCTTCTTCCCAAACCCTTACTGAACTCGCCTTCCCGTGCTGTTTTTTCCCTCCCCAGGTCGTGATGATTATGTGTTGGAGCAGCGGTAGGGTTTCGGGTTTAGGGTTTAGCGGTAGCGGTGTGGCAGTGAGAGGCAGTGAGGGGCAACGGCAGCGAGTGCCATACTCCTTCCAACCCCTCCCCTGACTGCGTATTTCTTTCTTTCCTTCTTTCTTTCCTTCTCTCTTTCCTTCTTTCTTTCCGTCTTTCCAGGTTGTGATGATAATGCGTTGGAGCAGCAGCAGTAACGGCACCAGCAGTGAGGGGCAGAGAGTGCAGAGGGTGCCTTACTCCTTCCAGCTCCCCCCTGATTGGGGTTCTGCCACTGCCTACTCTACTGAGGGTGTTTATAGCGGGGATACTGCTGCTGGGGCAGCTGGGCCAGCAGTAGCAGAGGACGCATGGATAGTGGTGGGGTTTGAAGACGTGGTGGATGCAGCGCGGTTCAGTGAGGTGCTGCGGGTGTGGCTGCTGGCGCACCCAGAGGAGCTGGAAGGAGAGGAAGAGGGGGGTGATGAGGAGGAGAGAATTGAGGCAGTTGCTGGTGTGGCTGTGGAAGTGAAAGCTGTTCCATGCTCTCCCAAGGTGGGCTGAGTTTTCTTCTTTCTGCATTTATTTCGAGTTTTGAGACGCCTCAGTAGAAGGTTTGTCTAATGTATTTCTGCAGTCCTTCATCGAACCTTGCGCCCTTTTATTCTATGTTTCAAAGGGCAGCTCAGCTAGTTGGTGTGGTTATGGCTGCTCACTGATTCACACACCGTTCTTACTTTCTCCCTCGCACCCCACCACCCTTTCCCCCACACCCTCCCTCCTGTCTCCCATTTTTGTACCATCCATAGCAGGAGCTCTACTCAAGTGCCAAGGAGGCAGGCCACCGTATTCTCGTGGTGCAGCGGCAACATCTACAGCTGAAGGTTGTTGACCATTCTTTACCTGCTGCGCCTCCCTCCTTCCCATGCTCTCTCTCTCTCTCTCTCTCTCTCTCTCTCTCTCTCTCTCTCTCTCTCTCTCTCTCTCTCTCTCTCTCTCTCTCTCTCTCTCTCTCTCTCTCTTTGTCTGTCTGTCTGTCTGTCTGTCTGTTTTCTTCAGGATCTCTACTCAAGTGCCAAGGAGGCAGGGCATCGCATTCTCGTGGTGCAGCGGCAGCAGCTGCAGCTGACAGCAATAGACGAACCTTTCCCAGACGTGCTGGCTCGGCTGTGTGATGCTGCTGCTGCTGGGGATGATAAGAGGAGGGGGACCCGAGGGCCCGCCACGGTCGATTTGGGACCGTTGATTGCTCGTGCAGGGAAGAGGGGTGGAGAATGGAGGTAGCGAGTGGGTTGATTGGAGGTAAGATTGGGTGTGAGAAAGTTGCTGCTGCTGCTGCTGGGGAGGGTGGGTTGGAGGAGGGGAAGGTGGGATGAACTTGCAGATGAAAATGGCAGATGAACTTGCACGTCAGTTCTTATGGGCGTGAATACATGGTAGGATATCTGGATGAGTCTTCCGCTGTTTCGACTGCGGGAAAGTTTTTCGATGCTAGTTTGACTTCCCTTACTCGCCAGCATGAAAATTACCCTACATGCTTCTGATAGTAAATCGTATTATTATATGAACTGCATGTCATCTTCACTGTTCTGCCGGTACACGACGATCAGATCTGTACGGCCTAAACCGCACTCCCAATATCGAACATCATCTTCCCAGAACACACCCAACCAGATCCCACCTGTGCTTCGGTGTTCCCGAGGGCACACGCACGGCGAATCCAGGTTTTGTGGGATTGAGATGGTTATCAAAAGTTAACGTTGGGTACGAATCGGTTCTCGAGACCCTCACATCTCCAGTCCATCCTCCCTCAGTCATAGTCCCGGTGCAGGATCACTAATAATCCGCGTAGGTCACTGAACAATGGCTGCTGGTCCAGGAAGCTAGCAAGCCAACCGAGCGCGAGCGTCGGAGCTGGCAAGCCGCAGTTGGCGTACTTCTCTAGTGATTGACTGCGCTTGTCATTTTCCCCTTTTCTAATAGTTGTTTTCCCGTCTTACCTCGCTGTTTAGCCGTCTTGAATAACGTACTTTGCGAACTGGGAATGATATTGTTTTCAGCTCATTGCCTGCCTTGCGAGTGTGAATCACACGCTCTTTCGAATTCGAAAGTCCAGGAGACGATCTTCCCAGGCCGTTTCTTATCGCATTCGAGCAGAAAACTTCATTATAGAAGCAAGTCTGGGTGTACCGGAGTACACGTCGGCATTTTCTAGGCACCCAAAGTATCCTCCTGATCAATCCTCGCTATAACCACACACAGCCTAATTGGGATTCGTTAAGAGTCGTCGCCAGCCATGAGAGGCCTTCGCAGGCAAGTCGCGCACGGGCCGACGACTCGAGCGATCATCATACTCGTTATTGGCCTCTTCATTATCAGCTTCTGCTCCCGCCCACGCGAGCACTACCGACGTCTTCATGCCATCGGAAGGTGCGCGAATTTTTTGAGTTGCGAATGAATTGTCTGCATGCCAACGGCTCAACGACTGGACGGCCAGACAACCATTCGGTTAATGCTGCTTGACGGTTAGACGGCCAGTCGTGCAGCTATTGCTGCTTGTGCGGCTAGACGGCTAGCTGGTGTGGTTAGACGGCCAGACGGTAGAAGGCTAGTGAGTCTGCGTGTGCCTGCGTGGGAAGGCGAGAAGGTAGGCTTTAAGGTGGTCCTTGAATCAAGTGAATGGGCAACCAGAATTGTCACAGGTGGTTGGCAAAATCTGTCCCTATTCGGCCGAAGTGTTACTTCCCGGAACCATGCGCCTCCCCTCCCGCCTCCTCCCTCAGTGTTGGTTCCAAGGCGTGGTTCGTTCGACCGCGTAAGCTTGTTGCGAGGCTCCCATACTGGCAGCAGCAGCAGTTGAAGCAGCAACGCATGCGTTTACCCCATTCTCTTCCCTGCCTGCTCCCTCCTCTATCCCTTCCCCCGGCTCCGCGTTCCCCAGGCGTGGCTCGTTCGACGACGCCCGTCTGTTGCGAGGCTCCCATACTGGCAGCAGCAGCAGCAGGGGGAGCAGCAGGGGCAGCAGCAGGGGCAGCAGCAGGGGCAGCAGCAGGGGCAGCAACAATGCACGCGCTTACCCCATTCGCGATCCTGTCTGCTCCCTCCTCTGCCTGTTCCCCTTGCTCCGTTTTCCCCAGGCGTGGCTCGTTTGACGACGTCCGTCTGTTGCGAGGCAGCAGCAGCAGGAGCAGCAGCAAAGGGAGCAGCAATGCAGGAGGGGAAGGAGCAAGGGAAACGAGAGGAGGGGAGGGTGGTAGAGGAGAGGGGGCGAAAGGCGGGCGGGAAAATGCTATTCACGTGATGCTGACTAGTAACGGGTCGCCTTATATGAACTGGCAATCGCGGATCATGTACTACACTTACCTGCAGGTGAGTCGGTGACTTGTGAGGCGGATTAGAGGCTATAACGAGTCTCCTTATGTATGAACTGGTAGTCGCGGATCATGTACTAGACGTACCTGCAGGTCAGTTGGTGACTTGTGAGGCGATTCAAATGTTGTAACGGGTTTCCTTATGCGGTGACTGGCAATCACGGATCATGCGTGAGTCGGTGACTTGTTGTAGGTCTTTCTGTCTGTCCTTCTCCCACTGCGGCACTGCCTTCGCCCTTCACCCCTCCCCCACCTTTCCTTCTCCTACCGCCCCTCGCCAACCAACCCCATCAGGTGGCGGGTCTCCCTGGCAGTGACATGAAGAACTTCACTCGAGTGCTGCAACAAGGAACAGGAGTAAGGGCAGGGTTGAGGGGTCCCTCTGTCTCTTCTATGCGTTTTCCGCCCTCTCCCCCATCACCTCCACCCCATTAGGTGGCGGGTCAGCCTGGCAGTGACATGAAGCACTTCACTCGCGTGCTGCGACAAGAAACAGGAGTAGAGGCAGGGTTGAGGGGTCCCTCTGTCTCTTATATGCGTTTTCCGCCCTCTCCTCCATCACCTCCACCCCATCAGGTGGCGGGTCGGGTCAGCCCAGCAGTGACATGAAGCACTTCACTCGCGTGCTGCACCACTCGACAGGAGAAGAGGCAGGGGCGAGAGGTGCTCTGTCGCTCATATGTGTTCTCCGCCCTCTCCCCCATCGCCTCCCCATCCTCTCTCCTCCACGTCCTCCCATTTCTCCCCCTAACCACCCTGTCAGGTGGCGGGTCAACCCGGCAGTGACATGAAGCACTTCACTCGCGTGCTGCACCGCTCGACAGACGATGCTCTGATGGATGTCATGCCCACGGTACGATAGGGGTGGAGGTGGTTGAAATGCGGTTTCGCTTGGTAGAGTGGGGGTGCATGGCTCATGCTGCACCGATCGACAGACGATGCTCTGATGGATGTCATGCCCACGGTACGATAGGGGGGAAGGGCATGCTGCATGTGCATGTGCTGCATGTGCATGTGCATGTGCATGTGCTGCACCGGTCAGCAGACGACGCCCTGATGGATGTCATGCCCACGGTATGATAGAGGGGGAGTGGGGGAGGAGAAGGGGGGGGGTGGGGGAGTGGACATCCTCCCCAGCTACCATACCATGGCTGGGGAGGAGTGTGATACATTTGAGGGGATTGTTTTAGAATTCTAAATAAATCCCATACCGTGGCTGGGGAGGAGAATGACACATGTGAAGCCTCCAACCAATCCTCATCTGAAGCCTTTGATCCTCACATGTGATATATGGTGCAAGGTGTGCTGTTGCAAGTCGCCCCTTCTCACTCCATCCTGTACTTGCTTCTTTGCTCTCTTCCATTGCTCCTTTCCTTCCTCAGGTTCGAGTGAAGCCTCTAGACCCCACGTGTGACACGTGGTGTGAGTACCATGTGGCAAGCCGCCCTTTCTCACTCCGTCCCCTACTTTCTTTTTTTCCATCTCTCCATTCCTTCCCCCAGGTTCGAGTGAAGCCTCTAGACCCCACGTGTGACACGTGGTGCGAGTACCCGGTGGCAAGCCGCCCCTTTGCCATCCAGCAGTGGCTGGAGTCGGGGGATGTGAAGGGCGAGTGGATCTTCATGATCGAAACCGACTATATCTTTGTCAAGTGAGCTTATAACGAGGCTATCAGGGTCTAGGGTTTAGGGTTGAGAATGGGACCAATGATAAGCCTGTGGGCATGCCTTCATCTGCCAGCGCCTTTGACTACATGCCTCCTCCCCCCCCCCAAGCGCACAAGTCCCTAGCCATTCTTCCCCTCACTCCCTTCCACCCCTGCCTCCCCGCCAAAAGGCCTTTGGGCGTCCCCCGACGACTCAGTCCCTGACCTTCTGGCAACCTATTGTTGTTCCCCTCCCCATCCCTCCCCACCACACTGCCTTACGCTTCAATCCTCCGCATCACAGGCCCGTCTCCATCCCCCCAGCAGGCAGGGCGCTGGTTTTCCACTTTGACTACATTGCACTGCAAGACTCCAAACCGCTGCCAATCCATTGTCTCGCTTACCAACCCCACCCTTCCTCCACCCCTCCCTTCCCAAATCCACCCTCCCCTCCCGGAAGGCAGGGCGCTGGGGTTCCCCTTTGACTACATCGCCCGGCAAGACCCTGACCTCCTGCTAACTCATTGTTCCCTTCCCCTTCCACTCGCCTGTACCGCTTTTCGAGACGTCTCAAAAGCCTTCCACTCGCCTATACCGCTTTTCTCCTCTGCAGGCCCGTCACCATCCCCCCGGCAGGCAGGGCGCTGGGGTTCCCCTTTGACTACATCGCGCCTCAGGACCCCAACCTACTGCCCTTCATGCGCAGGCAAGCAAAATTCACATGATTTTCCATCGCTTCATTTGTCCGGCATGGTGCACGTGCAGTGCAGTGCAGCAGGCAAGCGTCATGGTAATCTTCCACGACCTGGTTGTTTTTGAGAATTCTCAAACACAACCTCGAGAATTCTCAAACACAACCAGCAGGCAAACGTCATGGTAATCAGCACCACGACCTGGTTTCTCATTGTCTGTCCATTCAGCCGTCTTATTTGCAAAACCGCATCCCTTATTATCTTATCTCACCATAGTTCTTCTACATTGCCATTCGGATTTTGTTTTGCGTGATACACAAAGACTTTATTACTATGATTATTCTGTAACGCTTTATTTGTAACTCTTGTATGTATGTATACGTGTGTTGTTACTTACAGGTACTACCCGACCCGGAGCCGTACTTTTGAGACGACTTAAAAGTCTCCTTGTTCCATGTGTGTTACTTGCAGGTACTACCCGGAGCCGTACCGAATTGAACGCGTCCCAAGGACTGGCAATGCCCCCACTATCATGCGTTATGACGACATGATGTGAGTGCTAGGTGTGAGTCATTTAAGATACCAGATGGTGTGAGTGCTGCCGGGTGTGGGTGTGTGTGTCTGGGCATTTCCCTGTCGACTCAATTTTCCTACGTCCCAAGGACTGGCAATGCCCCCACTGTCATGGATTATGACGACGTGATGTGAGTGCTAAGTGAAGTCATGTTCACACTCACATTCTGATTCATATTCATACTATTACCAGACCAAATTCGTATCTGCATATTCAGATTCATGTTTATGTTCACCTCAAATCTTATGCTCATGTTCATATTCGCATGTCAACACTCTTCTCCTCTCCTCCCAACCTCCCCACCCCAGGCGAGTGGTGCCCATATGGGTGAACGTGACAGCAGGCATACAAGAAATTTCGGAGCAGCTTCTAGGCTTTCTCTCTCTTTCCCATTCTTTCCTTTCGTCCCCTGGTCTGCCCACTTGCCACTCTCAGGCGAGTGGTGCCCATATGGGTGAACGTGACAGCAGGCATCGAAGGGAACGCGGAGAGCAAGGAGCGGTTCGGGTGAGTGGGTGGGTGGGTCGGCAGATGGGTGGTGACTTGGAGTAGAAATTCGGATGTGTTTGTGTGGTATGGTTCGAGTCGAGGGAGTGATTTGGGTGAGAAAGTGTGGGGCACACAGAAGGGACTCAGCAGAGCTTGCGACATAAGGAAAGGCTTTCCTCTCTGCTCCACTCCACCATTCCCAGTGGATCCGTGAGATGCGTGGTTTCTTTTCTCCATGTCCCCTGCACTCAATGTGTCATCATCGCACCCTCTCCCACCTTCCAACTCCTCTTCCCAACTATCACAGGTGGGTGCGGGAGATGTATGCATTCTCCATCTCCGTTGCGCTTGCAGGGGTCAAGATTGACCTGCCGCCCATGCCGCATGCCATCATGAGCCAGGTGATGTGTGGTGGTGTGCGGTGACGTGGGGTGATGTGCGTGTGGGGTGGTGTGCACCCATTCCGCATGCCATCATAAGCGAAGTGTTACGCTATGCGGTGATATGTGGTGACTTGTGGTGCTATGTGGTGCTATGGGGTGGTATGTGGTGTTATGTGGTGATATGTGGTGATATGTGGTGATATGTGGTGATATGTGGTGGTATGTGTTACCATGACAAGGTGGTGGTTGACGGTGTTGTGCTCATGCTCTCCTCTCCCTCGTCCCTCCGCCTCCCCCCTTTCCCCCGATGATCTCTGTCCCTCAATCCAATTTTGAAGTCGACTGCAAAATTCCCTCCCCCTCGTCCCTCCATCTCCCCTCTTGGCCCCGATGCTGCCTGTCCGCCAATTCACTTGCAACCTCCAGCCGACAAGGTGGTGGGCGATGCTGCTCTGCTCCTGCTCTTACTCCATCTCGCCCCTCCATCTCCCACCCACACCCCTCCCTTCCCATCACCACTCCCCCAATCCACCTGCAGCTTCCAGCCGACAAGGAGGTGGGCTCTTCTGCTCTGCCCATGGTCTTACTCCCCCCTGTCTCACGCCTGCAGGCCTGCCCACAGCCCACTCCTCACTCTTCCCGTCACCTCTCCCACCTCTTCACCAGCGAAGAGGCATTGCCGCCATCACCAGCCTCCAGCCGAGGCATTGCTGCTGTGTGCCTGGTCTCACTCCCCTTCCGACCCTCTGTCTCTCTTTCCCAGCCACTGCCCACTCGTCACCCCTCCCATCACCACTCATCCTTTCCACTTGCAGCCTCCAGCCGACAAGGAGGTGGGCGATGCGATGCTTCTGTGTGTGTGGTCTCACTCACTTGCCCCCTTATCCCTCTGCCCCTCACGCCCGCCCACTGCCCTGCCTCCCCTCCCCTCCTCCCTTCCGCTTGCAGCCTCCAGCTGACAAGGTGGTGGGCGATGCAGCTCTGCTGCACTACACGTGGGGCAGCCAGATCAAGGTGGGATGGGACGGTGGGATGGTCAATCAGGTGCCTATGTGGGGTGGGTGGGATGCTTAATCAGGTGACTACACAAGCTGACCAAGGGACCTTTAGACTCAAGAACCAAGGTGGTGGGCGATGCTTCTCTGCTGCACTACACGTGAGGCAGCCATATCAAGGTGGGGGTGGTGGGGTGAGATGATCCTAGCTATTCTAGGAAGGTGGGATGAGTCCGCTGTTCTTTTAGTGGGCTCTAGTATCTGTTCTTTTAGTGGGCTCTAGTATCTGTTCTTTTAGTGGGCTCTAGTATCTGTTCTTTTAGTGGGCTCTAGTATCTGTTCTTTTAGTGGGCTCTAGTATCTGTTCTTTTAGTGGGCTCTAGTATCTGTTCTTTTAGTGGGCTCTAGTATCTGTTCTTTTAGTGGGCTCTAGTATCTGTTCTTTTAGTGGGCTCTAGTATCTGTTCTTCTCCTCTTTGGGTTCACTCAAAGCTCCGATCCGCACTCGGTTCTGGTCTCTGTGATCTGGGAGTTTGACAAGTTTTGAGGCGCCTCAAAATTGCGGGATAAGGGACGACTTTTGAGGCGCCTCAAAAGTCTTTGGGTTGACTCAAAGCTCCGATCCGCACTCGGTTCTGGTCTCTGTGATCTGGGAGTATGACAAGCGCAAGCTCCTGACTCACGATCGCTATGCTCCCTCCCCTCTGTTGTCTTCTGTGTTCATGCCCGCCTCCCTTTGCTCCCTTCGTCCAGGACTGGAGTGGCAATGTGATCTGGGAGTTTGACAAGCGCAAGTTCACAGACAGAGGGCTGCCGGACCCGGTGCCACAGCCACCAGAGGGGAAGGTGAGTTGTTGTAGAGTAATGTGAGTCGTCATCTCAACGTCAGTCTCGTCTCATGGCTCACCAAGTTCACAGACAGAGTGGGAAGGTGAGCTTTACGAAAGCAGTCATCAGTTCACAGACAGAGGGCTGTCTGTGTAGGTCTCACTCCATCAGTCCATGTAAGTCTCACTCCATCAGTCCATGTAGGTCTCACTCAATCAGTCCATGTGGGTCTCACTCAACTCAATCAACGTAAGTCTCACGAGTCACACCAGTTCCGAAGAGCTCTGCCAGATCCAGTTCCCGAGCCGCCCAGAGTGTGGAGGTGAGCCCCTCCCCCACCCCCACCCCTCCGCGTGTAATGAGTCGTGTTTTGAGTCGACTCAAAACACGATTTTTTAGGCGCCTCAAAAACCCCACCCCTCCGCGTAGGCTTGAGCAAGGTGGCGAACACCTGTTCGGTTCGCCTCGAACACGTTCGAGGCAAACCGAACAGGTTTTGTTTTTCAGCTTAAATCGTTCGCCTGAACACGTTCGTGTTCGTGGCGCTGCTGCAGAACGCCCCGTGTCGAACACGAACGTGTTCGAGGTTCGCCCAAACACGCCTCCACAGGCGAACAACGAACACCTGTTTTTGCCTAAACTGTTCGCCGAACCGAACAGTGTTCGGTTCGGCAAAAGGGCGTGTTCGAGAGGGGGCGAACACGAACATGTTCGTGTTCGCCCTTTGCTCATCCCTACCTCCGCGTGTAATGAGTCGTGTTTTGAGTCGACCCAAAACACGCCGCCCAGAGTGTGGAGGTGAGCCCCTCCCCCACCCCTCCCGATCCCATTGTCTCCCCGCACGTTCCCCTTCTCCCCTCCCAGCAGGCCTCAGCGTCCCAGGTGGTGCTGGTAGCGAAGGTCAACGAGGCCATAAGGCATCTGCCCAAGTACACGCTGAGAGAGCTGCGGGAGACGGGCCGCAGCAAGGCTCATGACACAGAGTGCCCTCCCCATCCCCCCCTCCTGTCAGGCCTCAGCGTCCCAGGTGGTGCTGGTAGCGAAGGGCAACGAGGCCATGAGGCATCTGCCCAAGCCTTTCCCACCACACCCACCCCCTTCGTCCTGCCCTCCCACCCACCAGGCGTCAGAGTCCCAGAAGGTGCTGGTATCCAAGGTCAACGAAGCCATAAGGCATCTGCCCAAGTACACGCTGAGGGAGCTGCGGGAGATGGCCTGCAGCGATGCAGAGATTGACGGACGCCAATGTGAGAGAGTGGCGGGAGATGGGCCTCAGCCCCTTCCCACCGCACCGCACCCAGCCAAACCCATCGCTTCCCTCTCTCTGTCTCACTGCCCCACCAGGCATCGGAGTCCCAGAATGTGCTTGTTTCAAAAGTGAATGAAGCGATTCATCACCTGCCCAAGTACACGCTAAGGGAGCTTCGAGAGATGGGCCGCAGCGATGCAGAGGTTGATGCTTATGAGAGGGAGTGGCGGGCCAAGGGGTATGTGGAGGGGACGAAAGGAGGAGGGGAAGGAGGAGGAGGAGGAGGAGGAGGAGGAGGAGGAGGAGGAGGAGGAGGAGGAGGAGGCGAGGAGGAGAAGCAGGAGCAGCAAGGGGGCCTGGGGCAAGCAGGGGGGGCGAGGCAAGTGATTGGTGAGGTGCAAGGAGGAGGGGGGGTGGCGAAAGGAGGGGCGATGGCACAGCAGGAGGTGGCTAAGCCGGTGGTGGTGCCTGGGGAGGTGGAGAAGGGGAGCATTCATGCGATGGTCACGAGTAATGGGAATGCTTACATGAACTGGCAGACACTGCTTATGTTCCACACGTACAAGAAGGTGTGTCAATCTTGGAGTTGACATAAAGAGGGGAGTATGCATGTGATGGTTACAAGTCAGCACAACTCGAATTGGTTCTGATGAAAAAAACGGACTAGAACCTTTCGGCATAAGATAGGAAGAGCTTGGTGTTTTTTTTTTTTTTTTTTTTTTTTTTTTTTGTCAACAAATCATTCACACATTTTTTTTAGCTTGTCTTTGAAACCTATAATATGTAACTCAAACAAACCGTTCCTCATCCCACCTTGTTTTGAGACGTCTCGTTTTGAGACGTCTCAAAACTATATGTAACTCAAACAAACCGTTCCTCATCCCACCATATCCACTCTCTGCCTCTGTCCCCCGCTCTGTCGTTCCTTCTCTCATCACAGGTGGCATCTGAGGCAGGCAGCAACCTGCGCTTCTTCACGCGAGTGCTGCATCGCACCAAGGACGACGAGCTCATGCACCTCGTGCCCACTGTGAGTGCCCTCTGTGAGTGAATATGGATGTGCTTATAGTGAATGCATCTTGTGCCCACTGTGAGTCAGTCCTCGCCTCGTGCTTGTAGTGCATGCACCTTGTGCTGCCAGGAGGGAACAGCCTGCTTCACACAGGTGCTGCATGGCACCAAGGACGACGAGCTGATGCACCTCGTACCCACTGTGAGTGAATCCTCGCCTCGTGCCCACTGTGAGTGAATCCTCGCCTCGTGCCCACTGTGAGTGAATCCTCGCCTCGTGCCCACTGTGAGTGAATCCTCGCCTCGTGCCCACTGTGAGTGAATCCTCGCCTCGTGCCCACTGTGAGTGAATCCTCGCCTCGTGCCCACTGTGAGTGGATGGCTCATCATGCATTGACTTATGTATGTGCTTGTAGTGAAAGCACCTTGTGCTTGCTTCCAGCAACCAGCAGCCTGCTTCATGCGAGTGCTGCATCGCACCAAAGACGACGAGCTCATGCACCTCGTGCCCACTGTGAGCCACGACTCTTGACCTGTATACTTTGGAGAATGTATTTTTACCATGAATGAACTCTCCTCAGGCGCACTTTGATCCGCGTGTGATAGGTCGATTTTTTAGTGGACTCAAAAATCGACTGATCACACTTGGCATGCATGCATCTCATTTACTTCTCTTCAGAACGTCCAATTAATTCCACCGGGGGAGCATAGAAGTCACTTTCAATCAACTTGCTCCCTCTGCAGCCTGTAGTAAGTCGATTTTTGAGTCGACTCAAATCGACTTTCACCGGGGGAGCATAGAAGTCACCTTCAACTTGCTTCCTCTGCAGCCTGATTTTTAACGAGGTGACTTTTGAGCCGACTCAAAAGTCACTTCAACTTGCTCCCTCTGCAGCCTGATTTTTGGAGCTCATGGCCTTGCTTCCTCCCTTTTCTCCCTCCTGTCCTCCTGCCCTTCTCCTTTCCTTCTCCTTCCCATCTCCTGCCTTTGCTCCTGCTCCTCCTCCTCCCCATTGTCCTGCCTCTCTGCTTTTTCCCTTCCACCTCTCAGGTGCGCGTGCGACCACTGGAGCCCAAGTGTGATGACTGGTACGCTGCCTGCACTCCCACCCAAGCTCCTTGCTTTCTTGGAACTCCTCCTTCTCCGCTTCCCTCGATCTCCTCTCTCTCTCCTCTCGCTCTCCTCTCGCTCTCCTCTCGCTCTCCTCTCGCTCTCCTCTCGCTCCGCTCGCTCCTCCCCTTCCCTTCCTCCCGTGCGACCTCTTGAAGCATGTATGCGATCACACCTAATCACAGCAGGAGGGGCAGCCTAACCACCATTCTTACCCCCCTCCTACATCTCCTCCCCTTAACTCCCCTCCTCCCCTCACCAGGTGCGAGCACCCAGTGGCTGATCGCCCCTTCGTGGTCCAGCAGTGGCTGGAATTGGGTGATGTGGTTAGACCCCTGAAGTATGCATGCATGCATGTAGCCTAACCACTACCATTACCCCTCTCCTTCCCTCTCCTTCCCTCTCCCTTCCCCCTCTCTGTAGGTGCGAGTACCCAGTAGCTGATCGTCCCTTTGCCATCCAGCAGTGGCTGGAGTCGGGGGATGTGAAGGGCGAGTGGATCTTCATGATTGAAACGGACTACCTCTTTGTCAAGTGAGTGAGCTTATAACGGGGATGATGTTAATTTCACAACGCGGGACTCTCACCAGTGTCAAGCAAACCCTACCACCTGCGGTCAAGCTCTCTGGTCTTCTTTCTCTCCTTCTGCTCATCTCTCTCGTGCCTTTCCTCCCTCTCATCCCTGCCAGGCCTGTCGCCATCCCTCCAATGGGCCGCGCTGTGGGCTTCCCATTTGGCTACATTCGTACTTTGAGCCGCCGACTCAAAGTACACATTTTGAGCCATCATCTCTCTCTTCTGCTTTCTTTCCATTTCCACATGTGTTCCTCTCAGGCCGGTCGCCATCCCTCCAACGGGCCGCGCTGTGGGCTTCCCTTTTGGCTACATCATCCCCACCTACCCCTCCATCCACCACATCATGATTCGGTATGCTCTGCTGTGCGGTGCAATGCGGTGCGGTTAGTGCTCTGCTGTGCGATGCTCTGATGTGCGATGCTCTGCTGTGCGGTTCTGTGCTGCTCTCTTCTTCACATCATCCCCACTTACCCCTCCATCCACCACATCATGATTCGGTACGCATGGCAATTCTGTGCGGTGCTCTGCTGTGCAATGCTCTTGTGTGCGGTGCTGTGCTGTGCTGTGCTGTGCTGTGCTGTGCTGTGCTGTGCTGTGCTGTGCTGTGCTGTGCTGTGCTGTGCTGTGCTGTGCTGTGCTGTGCTGTGCTGTGCTGTGCTGTGCTGTGCTGTGCTGTGCTGTGCTGTGCTGTGCTGTGCTGTGCTGTGTTGTGCTGTGCTGTGTTGTGCTGTGCTGTGTTGTGCTGTGCTGTGCTGTGCTGTGTTGTGTTGTGCTGTGCTGTGTTGTGCTGTGCTGTGTTGTGCTGTGCTGTGTTGTGCTGTGCTGTGTTGTGCTGTGCTGTGCTCCTCGGTGCCTCCTGTGTTGTTCGCTGCTTCACATCATCCCCACATACCCCTCCATCCACCATGATTCGGTATGCTCTGTGCTGTGCGGTTCTGTGTTGTGCAATGCAGTGCCATGCGGTGCTCTGCTGTTCTCTGCTCTCCTGGGCTTGACATCATCCTCTCCTACACTCCCATTCCGTCCTCCCATTCCTTCTCCTCGCCTGCCCCTTTTTTTCTTCTCAAACCCCCCCTCCTTCCTTGCAGCTACTATCCCTCAATGCTTATTTCTCAAGGACATTCCTCAGACAAGCAACGCACCGGATCTTTCACCCACGCACTCCAATGCTTCTTCACCTGCTTCCTTCCCCGTCTTCGTGCCCGCAGCTACTACCCCGGAGACCTAAAGGACATTCCGCGGATGGCCAATGAACCAGTTCTCGCTCCCATTGCTTCCTGCTCCCCATGCTCCCTACTCCCCATGCTCCTTACTCCCTCCCATCCTCCCACACCCCCTCCATGTAGCTACTATCCCGGAGACCTTAAGGACATACCCCAGGCAGGCAATGCACCAATTCTGCCTCGAAAGCCCCCCTCTCTTTTCTCCGCCCGCCCCTTCTTTCCTCCTCAATCCCCCCCTGTCCCCACACCCCCGTGCCTGCAGCTACTACCCCGGAGACCTAAAGGACATTCCCCAGACAGGCAACACACCAGTTCTCGCTCCCACTGCTCCCACTGCTGCCTGACCTCCCACTCTTCTAACGCCCTCCCATCCCATCCTCCCTTCCCTTCCCCCTTGCAGCTACTATCCCGGAGATCTAAAGGACATTCCTCAGACAGGCAATGCACCAGTTCTCGCTCCCACTGCTGCACTTGCGTCAGTACCTCTCTCCCACTCTCACCTCCCCTCTCTCAATATCCCTTTCTCAAGTCCCCTTTCTCAGTGTTCTCGCCTCCTCTCTCTTTCCCTCTTCTCCTCTCTCACGTCTCCACTCCCATTTTCCCTCTCACTTCCCCTCTCACTTAAAGTCTCCCATTTGCCCCTTCTCGCTTCCCCTCTCTCAATCTCGCTTTTCGTCTGCGCTTCCCCTCTTCTCTTCCCCTCTCTCACTTGCCCTCTTCGTTTCCCCTCTTCCCTTCGCCTCTCTCATCTCATTGCATCACCCCCTATCCCCCCATTCCACTGCGCACCAGCCGTGTGGTACCCATATGGGTTGACATCACAGCCCGATTAGAGGCCTCACACTTTATCTCGCTTCCTCCCCACCGTTCCCCACCATTCCCCCCCATTCCACTGCGCACCAGCCGTGTGGTACCCATATGGGTGGACATCACAGCCCGGTTTGAAAAGGACGAGGAGGCAAAGAAGGACCTGGGGTGAGTGGGCTGGTGGGTGGGTGGGCTGGTGGTGGGTGGTGGTTCATGAGAATGGGGGGGGAGGTATATTCAAAGGAGTGGAGGGGAGTGGAGGGGGGGTGTAGGGGGGTGCTCTGATCCCATATGGGTGGACATCACAGCCCGGTTTGAAAAGGACGAAAAGGCAAAGAAGGACCTTGGGTGAGTGGGCTGGCTGGCTGGCTGGGCTGGATGGGTGGGTGGGTGGGTCGGTGGGTGCATGGGTCGGTGGGTGGGCGGGTGGGTGGGTGCATGGGTGGGTGGGTGGGTGGGCGGGTGGGTAGGTGCATGGGTGGGTGGGTGGGTCCATGGGTAGGTGGGTGGGTGGGTGGCACTTCGTGTGGGTGGGTGGACTTAGAGATGAGGAGATGAGGGAAGGGAATGGGAGGGGAGGGGTGGGGAGGGGTGGGGAAGGGGAGGGAGGGATGAATGTGATGGGGCGAAGTATGCTTTCTCCATTGCTGCAGTGCTCAGCAACATGATTTCCTCTCTCCCATGCCCCATGCACGTCTCTCTCCCTTCCTGTCGTGTATGATAAGTCGATTTTTGAGTCGACTCAAAACACGACTCAAAAATCGACTTATCACACATGCCCCATGCACTTCTCTCTCCCTTCCTGTCTTCCCTTCTCACACGTTTCCCTGCTATACCCCCCCTCTCGTCCCCATCCCCCACCACAACAGATGGGGGCAAAAGGTGTAGCCTTTTCCATTGCCGCTGCTCTAGGCAGCATGCCCTCCACTCCCCTTAGCACGACTCCCTTCCTTCCTGTCTTCCCCTCTCACAACCCTCCACCCCAACCTCCCACCACAACAGGTGGGTGCGGGAGATATATGATTTTTCCATCGCTGCTGCTCTCGGCAACATGCCCTCCTCTGGTCCCATGCCTTCCTCCCACTCTCTCTTCTCCCTAACTTCCCCAATCCCCCACTCCCCTTCTCCCCCCCCCACCACAACAGGTGGGTGCGGGAGATGTATGCTTTTTCCATCGCTGCTGCGCTCGGCAACATGCCCATCGACCTGCCGCTCGTACCACATGCCATCATGGTGCAGGTGGGTGGGATGTGGTGCAGGTGGGTGGGATGTGCTCTCATGGTGCATGTGGGTTGTTGGGATGTGGTGGGATCTGGTGGCATGGCATGGCATGGCAACATGCTCATCAACCTGCCACTGGTGCCACACACACCATCATGGTGCAGGTGGGATGGTGAATGTGGTGGGATGTGCATGGCATGGCATGGCATGACATGGCATGGCATGGCATGACATGGCATGGCATGGCATGATGGCGCTGTAACTCGTGGCAACATGCCTGTCGACCTGTCCCTGATGCCACATGCCATCATGTGGTTAATGCAGCCATTATTCATCACACATGCAGTACACATGACACATGGAAGACACATTACCGTCCCTTCTGTCTTCTCACCCCTGCGGCCCCGTAATCCCCTCAATTCCTCCGGCCCTCCCTTTCCCTGACCAACCTCCCCTGCAGCCTCCAGCCGACTCTGTATTGGGTGATGCGGCCATCATTCATTACACGTGGGGCTACGAGTTCAAGGTACAGTACAATTTGCTTTTTATTGTCGCCTTAAATATCATTGAACCGTTTTATATATATATAGCGGAGCCATTTTTATATATAAGTCAAGTCTAAACACGTGGCCCGACGAGTTCAATCCAATGCCGAGTAGAGTGTGACAACTAACCATCGAATGCCACATAAAAGGGTAACAAGTTTCCTTCGGATCCAGATTGAGGGTAACAAGTGCGAGAAGGCTAGTTCAATAATTTGCTGGCTTGTTTTCTGTTCCTCGTTCTCCCTCCTTATTTCCTTCGCTCTGATCCACCTGGGACAAAGGTGAAGGGGTAAGCTGGTGGTTTGACAACAGAAGATACTCTCAGCATTCTCCCCTGGGTAACCACCATTGATCCCTCAATACCCTCTTCTCTTTCTACCCTCTCCCTTCCCCCTTTCCCCTTCTCCCTTCCCCCTTTCCCCTTCCCCCTCCCCCCTTCCCCCTTCCCCTTTCGCCCTTCCGCCATCCCCCTTTCCCCTTCTTCCTTAGGATGAAGCTGACAAGGTAGTGTGGCGATTTGACAAGAGAGACTACACACAGCCTGGCCAAGTACCGCCAATTCTTGCCGACCCACCGCAAGGGGTAAGCCAACCTGCTACAGTGAGTTTTGCTGCAATGATGCTTCGCTCATTCCAAGCATGTGGTTTCTGCCATAATATATTACATTCATGTGGCACATTATGGAAAAACGTTTTTACAAACATATACGGTTTCGGTGTTGCTCCGTCGTCATACCACCCCGCTTGCTCAAGCAGAAGGCCTCGGAACTGCAACTTATCATGGTCCGTGTTATCAACGATGCAATCCGCACGGTCTTCTACCCTGGCACAAACTCAAACGTCAAGCCTTTGATTGGTTGACTCTGTTTCTGCGTATTGGCATCATAATCCGAAAATGTTGACACAAAAATGCTTAGAGTTAATCTGTCAAAGTACGAGGGATATGTCTCATCGTGAAGTTCATTCTCACACCACATACAAATCATTATCGAGGTGCAGCAAACAGAGCTTCCCGAAAGACGGAAGTTCGAAAATGCACGAAACTTCTAGTTACCGCCAGAATGTGTGGCCAATCGTTGGATTTCTCGCCAGACGACAAAAACAATTTTTGTCCGCTCTGAAAATTACCCGCGGAGCGCGCATTTCACAAACCAAGGCGCGCATTTCATGTCGAGTCGCGTCGAAACGGGTAACACCCCTTTTCACCCTCCGCTGCCCTCCTTCCATATTCGAACCTTCCCCCCACCGCCATCGCCTCCACCGTCTCGCCTGGTCTCGTTTATCCTCGCCATGCCTCGCCTCGCCTCGCACTTGATTTCGCCGATCACTGCATCGTCGCGTACGCGCAACCAGGCCCAGCCTTCCCCCCACAGAGCCCTGCCCCTTCCGCAGTGACAGTCACTCGCTGCGCGTGCCTTCCCCCCCAACGACCCAACGAGCACATATAAAGTGGCGAGCATTCTTCATTTGAGCCATCAGCTTTTCCAAAACCAATCCAATTCGCATTGCTTTCCTATTTACAACTCGCGATAGCCTAATTTGAAGCGAAACTCTCTGCAGCGGCGATTACTCAAGGATTCTTAGAGACTGCAACTGCAATTAGTTTGGCTTATTACGTTAGCGTATGGAGTTCCCCGCCTATCCTAGCTTCGTCACTCCGTGGGCTCACTCCCTTCTCTTCCCGGGCGCTACAACACTAAAGCGCAAAGCAGATAGCGAAACGTCCACCATTCTCGACTCCACGTTACCACCTTTCGTCGCCAGCCCAGAGAAGCGTCTTCGCATTCCCGGGACTAGCATTTGTGGCGTTAATTCTTTGCATTATTCGCCCTCCGCCACTCCCAGCTCAGTCTTTTCCGCCTTCGACGGGGAGTTTCAAGCCTTGCCCCCGCTGACCCCATCTTCCCCAACAAGCTCTCCCTTCACCTCTCCGCCGATATCCCCACTCTCCTCCGGGACAGCCACATCCACCCTCACCTCTTCCTTCTCTCCCCGCGCATCCCCCGCGACCCCCGCTTCCCATGCCGCGGTCCCCCTCGCGCTCCCCCGCCGCCTCAAGGGCGTGCGGCAGCGCAAGTGGGGGCGGTGGGTGACAGAGATCCGCTGCCCGCGCACCAAGACTCGCGTGTGGCTGGGCTCCTACGCGACGGCGGAGGAAGCGGTGCGCGTATACGACATGGCGGCGCGGATGATCTTCGGCCCCTCGAAGGTCACTCTCAACGAGCCCGACGCGGCCCCGCGTCCCGTAACCGTTGCGAAGAGCATCGCCGAGTCGCTGATCAAGGTTGCGCGATCCAGCAGCGGCAACGGCGACGCGACCGTTGACTTGTCCGCGTTTCGCGGAGATCTGGCGTGTTTGGAGGTTGTCGGGCAGAACGTGGTGGTGTCTGAATGCCCTTTCGCACCGCTCGCGCTAACAGTCGCGACGAGCGCTCAAGGCGAGACTTGCCGTTTTTCGAAATGTCAATCTGCCGCGTCAACGAACGCCGCTTATTTAGAGATTCGTCATGAGCAGTCGGAGGCGGTTACTACTAACAATATGGCTTATAACGATAAATCATCTGCTCCCACGGTCCCATCTCCGCTATCCCTTATTGACGAGCTCTTCGACAACAGCTTCTGCGACATCCTGGCGACCCCTTCGGCGATGTCGCCCTCGGCCTGCGATCTGGGCGATTTTGAGAGCCTGGAGAACGTATCTAGCCTCTGGGAAGAAATGTTCTGACTGACCTTAGCAGAGCAGTCTTTCTGGCAGCACCAACGCCATCTCTAGCCCCGGCAGCGGCACTTCTCGAGCTCCCAGCTTTACTGGGAAGAGCCGCACCTCTGTTTACCCATTAGTGGGTCGCTTGCTCCTCGTGGACAGCCATCATGAGTCTCCTCCAGTGCTCTTAGCTCCCCCTTCTACAGCTCCCTTCCCTATTTTTTCTTTATCGGGAATGGAAAGCTGTGTTGGAGGCGTACAGGAGCCTCATGATGCCTGTCCATTGGTGATTGTTAGGTAGATCTGTGTTCATTCTCCTTAATGTTAATAAAAAATTTTATGACATTGCACATGGTCCACTTGCTGTAGTTTCCTGTGAGCACCTTTTGCTTGCAATTCGAAATGCAGTTTAGGAAGGCCAGGAAGAATTTATGTTTACTGCCATGGAAACAATGGCCAGCGATTGTGTGTATGAATATTTATTAACATTATGCAATCTCAACAAGAAAGCATGCAAATCTCTTGCATTCGAAATTGTTAATATATACGTTCAAACTGCCTTAGGCTTGATTGCCTCTATTGAATCAACATGAGATCAGACTGCATTAGGGGAGCTGCTGTTTGAAAATGGGATGTGAGCTTCCACTATTGTAGAGATTTCCTTAGTGAATAGCATTTCTCAACCCTTTGTGATATTTGAGGCACACCAGCACATACCATACATCAAAGGGAAGGTGACTCGTTAGGGTGGATTTATTATGAAAGGGCGGGTCGGTGAAAATTCTGATTTTTTGTGTAACGACAAAAACATTTTTTTTTGGCCTCCAGCGTTCCCAACAAAAGTTGGGATCAACCCGCGGAGCGCGCAGTTCACACCCGAGGCGTGCATTCAGAATAATGAGCCGCATTTGAATTTGTGCGTCCCTTGTTCATTCTTCCCCTGCCCTCCTTCCCCATTCGAACCTCCGCTTTCACTTCCGCCACCTCCCCTTGCCTCCGTCGTCTCGCGTTCGACTGGCTTCGTCTGCCTTCGCCACGCTTCGTGCTGCCTAAAAAATACTTTCGCCAGTCAAACGAAACTTCGTCAACGCACAGCCACCCAGCTTCCTTCCGCCCGCGGAGCCATTCCTCTTCCGCGATGACGGTCACTTCTTCCGCGTACTCTCCCCAACCCCGACGAGCACTAGCATAAAGCAACGAACATTTTCAGTTCCAGCCATCAGCTTTTCCAAAACCAACTCACAATTCCCGCTTTCTTCCTTACAACCAGCGAACTCAACAAACTTACCTAATAGTTGATACAGCACGTTATAAAATGGAGTTTCCGGCCTTTCCCAGCTTCGTCACTCCGTGGGCTCACTCCCTTCTTTTCCCGGACGCCACAACGCTGAAGCGCAAACTCGATAGCGAGACGTCTACCTTTATGGACTCAACATTACCGCCTTTCCCTCCCAACAGCCCAGAGAAGCGCGCTCGCATTTCCGAGACTAGTTTCAGTGGCATTACATCTTCGCCCTCCGCTACTCCCAATTCAGTCCTTTCCACCTTCGACGGCGAGTTCCAGCCCTTGAATCCGCTGCCCGCGCTGACCGCGTCTCCCCAGACAACCTCTCCGCTCGCCTCTCCGCCGATCTCCCCGCTCTCCTCTCCAGGTTACTCATCCGCACTCGCGACCTCCCCCGCTCACCCCTCGTCTCCCGCGCCCGCCGCTGCCCCCGCCACTTTCCCCGCTCTCCCCCGCCGCCTCAAGGGTGTGCGGCAGCGCAAGTGGGGGCGGTGGGTGACGGAGATCCGCTGCCCCCGCACCAAGACGCGCGTGTGGCTGGGCTCCTATGCGACGGCGGAGGAAGCGGTGCGCGTATACGACATGGCAGCGCGGATGATCTTCGGCGAAGCCTCCTCGACGGTCACTCTCAACGCGCCCGACGCGGCCCCGCGTCCCGTGACCGTCGCGAAGAGCATCGCCGAGGCGCTCATTAAAGTTGCGCGAGCCAACAGCGGCGAAGGCGATGCGACCGTTGACTTGTCCGGGTTCCGCGGCGACATGGCGTGTTTGGAGGTTGTCGGGCAGAACGTGGTGGTGTCTGAATGCCATTTCGCGCCGCTCGCGCTGGAAGTGACGCCGAACGGCCACGACGAGACTTGCCGTCTTCCCAAGTGTGAGACTTCCACGTCAACGAGCGCCGATTGCGAGATTTGTCTGCAGAAGCAGTCGGACGCAGCGGCTACTAGTGCTAACAGAGTGGTTGATAACGAGAAATTATCCGCTTCCGACGTCCCGTCCGCGCTCTCCCTCATTGAGGAGCTTTTCAGCGACAGCTTCTGCCACGTCCTAGCGACCCCTGCGACAGTGTCGCCCTCTGTCTGCGACCTGGGCGATTTTGAGATCCTGGAGAACGTGTCTGGCCTCTGGGAAGAAATACTCTGATTCACCAAAGCGTGAATTCTCTCTAGCATCAGGACCACCAGCAGCAGCTGCAGCACAGCAGCAGAAGCAGCAGCTATTATTTTCCCATATCAATTCGCTACTGTGAAGTAGGTAGGATGCGTGCTCGTGGACAGCCATCATGAGACTCCTGGCGCGACAGCTCTCTCCGCCTACTTACCTTGGCGGGAAGAGAAGCTGGGTGGGTGATGTACAGGAGCCTCATGATGCCTGTCCATAGGGTGACTATGTTCATCATTTCGTTTGTATTTATATGTATTATCAAGTATCAGACCCCCCTTCCATTGGAGGTGAACATAGTTCATGCTTTTTCCAGGTATGAGAGTGTTAGAGAAAATTTTATGCTTGTTCATGTGTATGGACAGTAATACAAATATGAGCTATCAAAGCCTGTATCAAAATTGGATAGTGCACGACAGGCCCAACCGCAGTT